AGTGCAGCCAATCAGGGAGCTGGGGTGAGTGCAGCCAATCAGGGAATTAGGGTGAAAGCAGCCAATCAGCAGCCACCAAAATGGTGGCTTACCGGTAGGATCAACAACATGAAGGAGTGAGCTAGTCTGAATAGAATATGATCGACCCAAAGTTACGGTTTTTTGCGACAGAAAAGTGCTTCGCAATCCGATCACCCAACCTCCTCTTCTTCGCGCCACTGCTTAGGCCCTTCTTCCAGCCAACGTATAAGCAATAGAAACACTTTTCGTACTGATTTCTTAGCACGCGACCTGCTTCTCTATCAGATCGTAGCTGTTGAGTCCATCTGCTCTACTACGCCTCGATCATGCGTCAATCTTCGTGATAACCAGTTCGAGCCTATTGATCCGTTTATTTTACGCTCCTCGCTGAATTCAGTAGCAGTAATTTCCGTGTCGCTCCCGAAGCGTCGCTACTCCCATTTCTAGTAGTCGCTCCTGCGAGCAGTCGGGTAAGCAGCAGCAGCAACAGCATCAACCACGCTGATTGGGTAGTCAACGGCCTCAAAGGTCAAAGACGCTAATCTCTTGCTTCGAAACTTATCTCTAGCGACGACTCTGATTCCTGTGACATCCGGCGACAACCGAGACTTCGCTAGCTGCGACTGAGACGGTGGGGATTGCGGTGCTTGCCCGCGGCGTCAGGACTTGCTCTTTGATCAACGGATCCTGCGTCTGTCGCGAGGAAGATAACGGATCCTGCTTGAGATTGGATTAGCTGCTACTTAACGCTCTGCCTCCTCTCCCGGCTGTGCTGAATTGGCTTAGTGAGTGCGAGGAGGCGAGACGTTGGGACGGAGCATAGGCGTCTAGACAGCGCTGGTAAAAGTTTTTTTATTTGAGCGTCGTTTCTGCAGTTGTTTCTGGCAAAATGCCAAACGCGTCCATTTTGCATGCTAAGCCATAACGGTGCCAGGTACATCATGTGAAAACCCGTCTCACACGATTCTTGACATCTAATCTCCAGCAACATGAACGCTTATCCAAAAGCTTCATGTATGTAGCAGTGCGCCGCTCAAGTGTGCAGTGCGCCGCTTGAGTCTGCAATGCGCCGCTTTCTTCCCCGCTTTCTTACCTCTCACTCCCCCTCACCCCTTTGTCTCCCCTCTTCCAGACAGAAGCTGGTGCAGCGACTGCAGGACCCCTCCCTGCGCCCCGCCCGTAGGGGTCTTCCCCACTCACCTTCTGACGGCACGAGTGCTGCTGAGGTGGGAGATGGAGGGAGGGAGAGAGGCGGAAGAGAGGAGGGGGGAGGCGATTGGGACGAGGGTGCGGAGGAAATTTGGGGAGTGGGACAGTCGCTGTCTGATGATACGAGTGCTGCTGACGTGGTGGGCCGAGGGAGGAAGGGAGGAGGAAGTGAGGAGAGGGGAGTGAGAGAGGAAGGGGGAGGGAATGAGGATGGAGGAGGAGGAGAGGAGGGAGGGGGAGAGAGTGAAGAGGGGAGAAGGATCCGGGTGGAGCTGGTTGGGGATGGAGGGGAGGGCGAGGACTCGGGAGGGGAGGGACGAGAGGGGGGAGTGGGAGGAGAAAGAAGAGTAGGTAGGAGCGAGGGCGAAAAGGGGGAGGAGGAGGAGGGAGAGGAGGGGGTTGAGGAGTTGGGAGGGGAGAGAGTGGGCGAGGAGGTGCGGGAAAGAGGCAGTGGAGAGGGGTTGGAGGAGCTTCTGTGGTGGGAGGCGAGGGAGAAGGGATCGGAGCATGGAAGGCAGAGGGATGGGAATGATGATGGGAGTGAGGATGGGAGGGATAAGGGACTGGAGCATGGAGAGGAGAGGGGTGTGAGGGATGATGGGAGTGAGGAGGGGGGGAAGGGAGGCAGTGGGGGGGAGGGGCTGGAAGAACTGCTATGGTGGGAGGCGAGGGAGAAGAGAATGGAGCATGGAGAGGAGAGGGGTAGGAATGAGGAGGAGGGGAGAGAAGGAAAAAAGGCGCTGCATGGGAGGGAAGGGGTGGGGAGGGATAGCAGGAGGCGTTGGGAGAGGGAGCTGGAAGGAGGCGAAGGGGAGGAGGGAAATGGGCGATCAGCATACAGGGGGAGAGATTTTTCCTGGGATTATGAGGGAAGGGAGGATGCATGGGGTAGTGGTGCAGAGAGGGAGAGTGTGGGGATTGAGCGTGTGAGGAGTGGGGATGGGGCAAGTGAGAGGGGGCTGCTTGGGGGTTACAGACGCAGGCGATTGCTGGAGCGAGTGGTGTGGGCCGATGTGGGGGGGAGCGGCAAAGCAAGGGGGAGCGATGTTGGGGGGGATGAAGCAGAGGGGGATGATGTGTGGGGGAGCGAGGTAAGGGGAGGCGTTTCCTGGGTGGGAGGCCAGGGTGAAGGGCTTGTTTTAGAAGGGCCTCGCACAGAGAGGGGGGAGAAGATGGGTGAGGAGGGGGGCAAAGGAGGTGCACTGCGGTGGGAGGCGGTGAGGGCGCGAGTGAGGGAGGTGAGGGAGCTGAGGTTGCGCATAGAGCATTGTGTGCGAGCGCGGCTGGAGCAGTGGGCTGAGGGCAAGCGGCTGGCACGGATTGGCGCCATGTGGGGCGAGTGGAAGCACATGCAGCGGATGCGGGGCGAGGGAGGGGAGGGGCGTGAGGGGATGGAAGGGAGAGAGGAGCGGGAGGGAAGGGAAGGGAGGGACGGGAGGGGGTGGAGGGACGAGGGAAAAGAAGCGGTGCAGGAGGAAAGGCATGGGGCGTTGTGGATGGTGAAAGGAGTGCGGAGAGTGATTGGTGCGGCCAGGGAATTGTGGTGGAGGAAGGGGAGGGATGCAGGGTTGAAGGGGAGAAAGGTGGGGACGCAGGAGGCAGTGGAGGGCGGGCAGAGGAGGAGGAGGTTTCTGGCGATGCACCTGCGATTCGACCTGGTGAGTCACCTGAGTTTCGACCTGGTGAGTCACCTGAGTTTCGACCTGGAGAGTCACCTGAGGTTCGACCTGATGAGTCACCTGCAACACATACCGAATTGCTTTTTTCTTCAAGCTCACAACCTCATTCCCCTCTCTACATGACTTTCCCCTCCTCGTTCTCTTCCCCCCACACAGGACATGGTGGCACACTCGCGGTGCGACTATGGGGAGGCGAGGGAGGAGCGGGAGCAGCTGAGGCGGTACTGGAAAAGGGCGTGGGGGGAGCTGGAGGGTAAAGTGCAGCACACCCCGCAGCAGCTGAGGGCGGCTGGCAAGTGTCCCCTCACGCCAGAGGAGGCTGGGCTGGTGCTGGCAGCGCTGGGATTCTCCAGACACACGCGGCTCTATGTTGCTTCATACAAGGTGTGGTGTGGTGCGGTGCTGTGTGTTATGGTGTGTTGTGGTGTGGTATGGTGTTGTGTGGTGTGGTAGGGTGTGGGGTGTGGCGTGTGGTGCAATGCTGTGGGTTTTGGTGTGCTACACGTGAGGAATGAAGCATCGAATCTCAGACATGATGCTGCAGTGTGTGCTGGGTAGTGCCCGGTACCGTATTGGTGACTTGGTGAACACGCCAGGAGCACGTGAGAGGGCAGATGCAGCACTGTACAGCTAGGCCCGGTCTCCTCCACTGATATCCAATTTACCTATTCAGTCCTCCCCCTGTCTTAACCCCGTTCGACTGGCAACCTCGTTTTCAAACCCCAGTCCTCTTACAGTCTATACTTGACTTTTAGGTCCCACTCCCCGTTCCACTCCCCCACAACCGCTTGCCAATGTATGGGGGGACAGTCGCATGGCAGTGCTGAGAGTGACTGGAGTGCAGATTGCCCTTGTAACAGCCACAATGCCCTCACCCTATGCAATCCCCACTCCCTTTTCAATGCCCTCTCCCTATGCAGTCCCCACTCCCCTGTTAGGCCCCACTCCCCTTTCAGACCCCTTCTCTCTTTTCGAATCCCACTCACCTTTCCGTCCCAATTACATTTCTTTCCCCCAACGCCATGCAGGTGTATGGCGGCCCCAGTCGCATGGCCGCACTGCGACGCCTCTTCCCCAACCTCGAGGATAAGACAACGCTTGCCACCCCAGAGGAGCTGCGGCCGTTCCGTGGGCGGGCGTCCATGTTGGCAGCACTGGACTTCTACGTCAGCACACACAGTGACGTGTTTGTGTCCACGTCAGCAGGGAACATGCATAATGTCATGGTGAGTGCATGGTGCTGTGAGTGGATGGTGCTGTGAGTGCATGACACAGTGCGGACATGGTGGCATCAAATCATGTGAGTGCATGGCGTTGTGGCGGGCGCATCAGGTCGTTTCGTGCTTCAAACTCTTAAATACAGTCATGGCATCAGCCCAAACACTGACACACATATCAGCAGATCAAGTTGTCTCCATGCCGCAAGCTCCCTGGTTATGCTCCTAAAAGGCACCCCTTCTCCCATATTCCCCCCACCCGTCAGGCTGGGCACCGAGCCTATTTCGGAGGGAGAAAGACCATCAAGCTCAACACCCCTCTCCTAGCCTCGCTCCTTCAAACACCGAACCTAACTTGGCCGGACTTCACCCGAGCTGTGCGCACGGGCCATGAGGGCAGGCTCGGACAGATCAAGGCTCGGCGAGCCGACCAATCACTGTACACATATCCTGCCCCTGAGTGCTTGTGTAGAGTGGATGGTGAAGCAGGGAGAGAGGTAGAGGCGAGGAGAGGAGGGCTATGGCGGTGGTGGTGGTATGGGGAGCAAAATCAGAAGCAGGTGAAAGTGCAGGTGCAAGAGCCTCAGCCTCCATGGTGATAAGCCTGAAAATTGGATGTTTGTTGCTTTGTAAGTGTATACGCTTGCTGCCTTTCTGAGCAGCAAGCAACTTGTTGCTTATTACGGCACAACAAGCCACAGGATGCTTTCTTATTATATTCCCTCGTATGTAACACCCCTTTAAATAAAATGCCCGAGTTTGGGGCATGTTGGCACCTTGTGATCACCTTCCTCTAGTGCAAAATGAACAGAACATCCTTTTAGAGACTATATTTCAATTTGTATTGCAGCGCTGTACTATTGTGTTGTTTGTGTTGTCGACGTTGCCGAGTCCAATCAGCAACATGCAGTACTGGACTGTTGAGGGAGACGTTTTGTCAGGAAATATGCTGCCATCTCATTGGTGGGGTAATAACTAAATTGTAGCTTGCACTGATCAGTCCCGTCCTTGACGAAGATGGCACAATATCCCGTCACTTTCATTGTATTGTCGGTTCTTGTAAGCAGTCTCTTCTATTCACTAATAACACGCACTCTGTTAGCTCATTCATAACAGCTTGTTATTACACTGCCAGAGCCATGTAACACCTCTGGCCTGGACGAGTCAAGAAAATCTCTGGCGAACTTCTGGGATATCCGTCGCGCGTTGAGATGGCTAGTCGAAGCCTTTCGCGAGTAGCAACCGTAACACAATGTTTCGTGACAATATACCCGTCTCCTACACTCCACAACCACGCATTCCCATCCCTTCCCTTCTCCCCACCTCCCATTTCCCATTGCAGATCGGAGTCTTAGCGTGCTGTGGCGACTGTGGCGCTGTCGTGACACTTTCGCGTAGGTTGCTCAAGAGTGACGTTTTCCACCCCCCTTGTTGCTTTACCGTATACCTCACAATTGCATCGAGGTGTACAACTTGTGTTGGGAATGTGACGGGAAAGTCACTTTGCAAGTTACTGACGCTACCACTGTTTTCGACTAAGAGTTTTTTCTTGCGCGGGAAATGCAACTGGAAAGTTACGGGGTAGTAACTTTCCAGTTATTTTTCGCACCTCCCTTTTCCGCGATGGAGCATGCCGATTTCGTTCGCTCGCCCCGCTGCTCTTCGCCTCGCGCTCGCCCTGCTCCTCGCCTCCGCCGCGCTTCGACCAGCCGAATCGGAATGGGTCGGGAAATCCGTAAGTCCGAGGAAGCGCGTGTCCCTCACGCGCCCCGCTCACGCGCAACGCAGACAGCAGCAGCCCGCGGCGGTCCAGGCGGGGCGAAGATCGTTTCAGCCGTTGGCTTTCCCCTCGTCCGCTCCTCCGCCTCTGACGGCGCCGGCGCCGGTGCCACCACGAGCGCCATCACGCCGGCCGGCAGCGCGCCAATCAAGTACCACGGCGGGCCGGTGGTGGTGGGCACACCGACGGTGAACATTTACCACATATACTACGGCAGCTGGGGGTCGGGGTCGGGCAAGGACGTGATCGACGCGTTCGTGCAGGCGCTGAGCAGCGACTCGGGCAGCCAGGGCAGCGCGGCGGACGCGAGTGTGAAGGCGTGGTGGGCCATCACGGCCGCGTACTACCAGCATCGCGGAAAAGGCGAGGGTCAAAAGTGACAAAAATGTGACATTTTCGTCACATTTTCGTCACATTTTCGTATACGGTTTTTGGGGGTTAAAAGGTGATGGTTGGAAGCAACAAGCCCACGTCACTTTCAACGTGACGCAAATGTCACCGAAGTGCCCACGTCACTGAGAAAGACGCTGGTGGGACGAAGAACGTGAGCTCCAAGGTGAGACATGGCTGGCTTTTGAGGTGCCTTAGAAGTTAACCGCACCGCATGGCAAATGTATCAACGTGGAAAGGATGACTCAAGACCCGACAGCGAGCTAGTCACTCCGCATGACGTTGCTCTTTGCCGTCGGCCCTGCATCTTCATCGTCACCCTCATTCATTCCGCCCTGCACGCCCTCTTGCTGCCATTTGCTCCTGATGCAGGTTCGCCTCGCGGGGACTGTGAACGACAACTATTCGTGCGGCAAGCAGCTGTCAGACAACGACGTGCTCACCAGTACGTGCTCCCCACCACTCACTCTCCTCCCCCTCGCCCTGTGTCTGCTGCCTAATCCAAGTGCACCTTACATGTGTTGATTCAATCCTGTTGAAATTACCACTCTCCCCTCACCTGCGCACACGCACGCCCACTGTCTCACCCCTCCTCCCCGTGCCGCCAACCACCCCCCTGCTGCTGCCGTGCAGTTGTGAAGAGCAAGGTGGGGGCGGGCAAGCCATTGGCGCTGGACCCACAGGGCCTGTACGTGGTGCTCACCAGCGCCGACGTCACCCTCAAGGGCTTCTGCTCCGAGTACTGCGGGTGGCACACGCAGGACTCGCTCAACTCCACGCCACTGCGCTACGCCTTTGTGGGGCACCACGGGCAGTGCCCCGACGCATGCGGGGTGGAGAGCACGTCACCCAACGGCAAGCCTGCCATCGACGCCACGATCTCCACGCTCGCGCATGAGCTCACCGAAGATACGAATGCGGGGTGGTTTGACGACAACGGCGAGGAGAATGCAGACAAGTGCTCGTGGAACTACGGCAGTACCAAGAGGGGATCGCTGCAGAACGGGCAGAGCTATGAGTACAATCTGGTGGGGTTGAACGGGATGAAGTTCCTCGTGCAGCTCAACTGGGACCGCGTGAGAAGTAAGTGCATCCTGCAGAACGCCCTGCCCGCTGACAGTAGTGGTGGGGGAGGCACTCCCTCTCCCCCTTCCCCTCCACCCCCACCTCCCCCCACTGGAGGCAGTGTGAAGATGAAGTGTGATTGCAACTGTGCGAGTGCTAGCAACCCCATGAGCTGCCAGTGCTCCTGCACCAAGACAGGGTGATTTGTGTGACGCGTGTGACAGGTGCCTTGTGGGGTGGGTGCAGGGCTGACGTTTCATATTTAGGCGCCCTGATTTCCACCTAGAATAAAAAAAAATCTACTCTGAAGGCACATGTTCCAGAAAACGGCACCCTGTGTCAGAAACAACTAGCAGGAATGAATGAACTAGGTCAAAGTTTGGTACCGTCATACCCCGGATATACCCCCATGGGGGGCACCAGGGGTTTTTTTATCAGAGTAAATTACTCTCTTTCTCTGAAAATCAGAGTGGTTTTTAGGGGGTCACTCTGACGTGTCTGGGTAATTTTTTTGGAAGATAAGTTTTCTCTGATTTGTCAGGGTTCTGATTTTAGCTACTCTGAGAGACCAGTGTAAATTTGTGGAGAATGTATTTTTCTCTGTACAGGGTATAGGCATTTCGACCGAGCCCCCCCCCCGCCCCAATTGGTCCAATTGGTGGGAGATAGTTAGGCAGACTAGATACAGGTATAGTTCTTCCAATAGCGAAACAGAAACGAGCGCGTAGCACAACGGTTAATGTTTTGGTAGGAGTGCAGAAGGCCTGGGTTCAATACTTGAGAGGACACTCAGAGTTGGAAAAATGGGTTCTCTGACTGCCCAGGGTATATTTTTCAGAAGTTAAGTTTTCTCTGACAAATCAGAGTAACGCTCATAATGAACCCTTAATTTCAGAGTTAGCTAGAAAACAGCTCAGAAAATCCGAGTAGTGAAAATCCAAAAAAAAGCCCTGGGGGGCACTAATAAAACATGTTTTTTTTAGGGGGTGGGCCTATAATATGCGGTATAAGCGCCGGCGTTTATGTTATGTCAAAAATGAATTTTGTTTTTAAATATACCAAATTGAAGCATTCTCAAAGGCGGATTCACCTGGGTCGAGAACGTTCGACTCTGTGCATGCTTTGCGCGTGAAACGGCCAACAAGGCGTGGCATCACGCTTTCCACGCCTTGTTGGCCAGGCCAGGTTCATCGAACGTGAACCTGGCCCATGCCAGTGCACACGTACTTCGCATCACAGCGGCCCAATCAGGGTTGCATGCGATCGTGGGCACGTTGTGGTTCAGCCACGACGTGCCCATTAACAGCAAGATTCCCTGCCACCGAGGCAAAGAGCTGCCCAGCTCAGCTCCTCTGCGGGGAATCTTGACTGTGGCCACACTTTCCCCGCAGAGGAGGCCGGGCCGCGAAACTGAAGGGGTCTCGGGCGAGGGCTTCATACGGCCCTCATTCTCAACTTTTGGTTCAGTTTTCTTCGTTCGTTTGGCCTGCCGTGGCCATGGCGGGCCTTCCAGGCACACATTTCTTGTTCCGCCGCCAACCTGCTGCTAGAGAAAGTACCCGCAGAGACACCCGTGACTATTCTCAATGGCAGTCGCGCCCTGCGCCCGTCCCTCCATCACAACCAGTAGTGCCTCCCGTTCCTCCCACTCCTCCTACGCCTCCTACCCCTCCCGCTCCCCCGGCGCCTCCTATTCCTCCGGTTCCTCCGTCCCCTCCTGTCCCGCCTGCTGTTGGTGTTCCGCGACAGGGGGTTCTGTAGCTTCTCCTCCCGCCTGGCTACTCGGCGTTCGACGCCTTACTGTCCGAGCCTGAACGCAGCGGCGGCGAAGGATCTTCCTCCGCACTGGAGCCACGATGGGGAGCGCCGGCTGATTGCCCGTTGGACGAATCCGCTACCGGTGAGGACGACGACGTGGAATTCTGGGCTGCTGACGGTCTCCCCGAGCACCTTCCAATTCCCTCCTTTCCCCCTCCGAATAAAAAAAGGCCCCACCCATCTCGCGATAATCGTGATGCCCGTCCTCCCTCCCCCAGGCACAAGCCGACAAAGCACAAGCGCAATTCCTACACCTCGCATGAGAAGCTGCAATGGATTCTGAAGCTCGAAGCCGGAGAGATGAGTGTGCGGCGCATGTCTCGCGAATCCGGCATCTCTCGAAGGTGCCTCACGGGCGCGCATGGTGCACGCTGTCGCCTGCACGGCCGCGGAAGGAGCTCGTGGTATCGCGACATGGAAGCGGAGGTGTACCGGAGGTTTCTCGCCCACCGCAAGAAGTGCCTCGCCGTCTCGATCGCACGACTGCAGAAGTGGTCGCACGAGGTGATGAAAGAGTTACACCAAGGTGAAAAGTGGGCCGGCTCTCAGCGGTGGACTCAGCGCTTTCGCCGCCGCTGGAACCTGACGACCAGAGCGAAGACCCGGGTCGGCCAGAAGCTCTCGTCCAGTGAGTTGTGCTTTGGTGGTATTGTTATTTGTCTGTTCCCGTCTATTCACGGCTCTCACGCTGTGTTTGTGCTTTCTGTTCCTCCCATCCCGTGTCCCAGACTGCAAGACTGATGTCAAGAACTTCTGGACGTACGTGCGTCGCTCCCGCCGCCAGTACAAGATCGACCTGCCGTGGATTCTAAACGCGGACCAGACGCCCCTCTGGCTCGAGATGCCATCCGAACGCATCGTTGAAGAGGTTGGCTCGCGCTCCGTGCCCGTCCGCAGCGGCGGCTACCAGAAAGAGCGGGTTACAGTGATGCTCGCCTGCACCGCCAGCGGGGAGAAGTTGAAGCCGTGGGTCTTCTTCAAAAGAAAGACCGTCCCCAAAGGAGATTTCCCTTCAGGTATGCACCACACGTCGATTACGAGGTGGCATGTTGATGTCAGTTAAAAAATTGAATAACATCGTGGTTTTGTTGCTGTGCAGATGTCCACGTGGGGGTCCATCCCAACGGTTGGATGGACGCGGACGGTGTCATCGAGTGGCTGGACGGGGCGGTGAAGCCGTACATCAACCCCAAGTTTGGAGTCCGCCCCCGCAAAGCTCTGCTCGTCCTCGATTCGTACCGCGGGCACCTGACCCCGGAGGTGAAGAAGAAGTTTGGCGAGCTGAACCTGGTCCCTGCGGTTATCCCTGCTGGCTGCACCTCGGAGATTCAACCCCTCGACGTCGCAGTTAACCGCTCCTTCAAGGCCGCCGTTCGCCAGCTCTACCACGAGTGGTTTGAGCGTGAGGGGGTCGACACCTTGACGAAGAAAGGTGAGAGGTGCAGCCTCTCTGTTTATGTTTTTATCTTTAACCCGTGCTGACCCGGTTTCTGGATTTGCGTGGCAGGCAACATCAAGAAGCCTCCTATCGAGCTGACGCTCAAGTGGATCTCGGCGGCCTGGAAGTCCGTGCCCAAGGAGCTCATTCAACGGGCGTTCCTCACCTGCGGCATCAGCAACGCCCTGGATGGGTCCCAGGACAAGCTCTGCCTGCAACACAGGCGAGACGAGCTCGAGGGCGAGGAGGTCGACATGGATGATGAAATTGCAACAGACGGTTTCATCTGCAACAACGTAGAGGAACCTGAGTCGGACTCTGAGGCCGACCCAGATGACCCCACTGCAGCTGATGATTAGAGTAGGGTAGATGTGTAGAAAATGGTGAAGCCTGTGTGAGGCTCGTAGGTAGGAGTAGATTAACTATTTGTAGATTAATTAAGATGATATTTTAGTGGATTAATTATGTAAAAGGTCTTAAAATAAAAAAGGACAAAAAAACCAGGTGGCGGTTATAAAGTGTAAGGCAGAGGTATGCGGTTATAATCCGTAAGCCATTTAGGTATGCGCTTATAATCGAGCACCGGATATAAGCGCCACACGCCAATTAAAAGCGCCAGGCGCTTATCCGCGGGTGGCGCTTATATCCGGGGTATGACGGTACAAGTATGAAACCCTAAAGGGGCTATACCCCATATTAGCTACCCCACTACAGCCTACACATATGTAGCACATATGTAATTTGACACACCCCCATAGGCAAAGTGGGGGAGAGCAAGGGGTCACATGACCAGTCAAGAAAAGCAAAGCAAGCTCGGGGTGGATCACAACGTCACCACACACACTGAGCAAAAGCAAAGGCCACAGGGCCAGTTCACTGTCACGAGACGAACTTAGCTAGGAACGGGTTTAACTAAGGGCCTAGGCTTAGTAGCCTAGGCCAAGCGGGTGTCGAGGGAGTTGTGCCAAGAGAGAATCGAGAATGTGTGTCTTCACTATAGGTTTGCAAGAACATATAGCAAAGAAACAAAGAGGTGCACCACCACAACAAAGAAACATAACTACACTAAAGCTAAAGCTACAGGCAGTTATAAACATATATAAATATATATCGCGACACACCCCCTTAACTACCTGCAGCACATAGCTAGAGCAAGTCACACCCCCTGAAGGGGCAGGTGCGGTGGGAGACGGCAGAGGGGTATGTGAGGAGGAGGAGGCAAGAGGAAGAGAGGAGAGGAGAATAGATAAGAACACAGGAGGAGGTGAGTGGGGGATGAGGAGAGGAGGTGGGGGGTGGCCGCAGCGTCCCCTCTTACTAACCCCCTTTTACGAAAGGGGGGGTTGAGTGGGGGATGAGGAGAAGAGGTGGGGGGGTGGCCGCAGCGTCCCCTCTTACTAACCCCCACATCCCCACCCCCAACCAACCACCCGCCCTCAACCTCACCCCCCATTTCAGTCGCCCCCTGGAACCGCACTCCCTCCACCCCTGTCTTCCTCCATACCTCTCCCAACCCACGATGGTCCCTGTACAGTCTTTCACAGGTGGGCTGCTGGGCACAGGTGGGGCTGCTGGTCACAGGTGGGGCTGCTGGTCACAGGTGGGGCTGCTGGTCACAGGTGGGGCTGCTGGTCACAGGTGGGGCTGCTGGTCACAGGTGGGGCTGCTGGTCACAGGTAGGGCTGCTGGTCACAGGTGGGGCTGCTGGTCACAGGTGGGGCTGCTGGTCACAGGTGGGGCTGCTGGTCACAGGTGGGGCTGCTGGTCACAGGTGGGGTTGCTGGTGCTGGTGCTGGCGGCTGGCGCTGGTGCTGGTTCCTGGTGCTGGCAGCTGGCACTGGGGCTGGTTCCTGATGCTGGCGGCTGGCGCTGGGGCTGGTTCC